ATATTCGCCTTCTATCAAGGAGTCGTCAACAATACACAGAAGGAGAGAGCAAGTTATGAGACATTGGTGGAGATGCTTTTGATTCATTGGAGGGCTCTGGTTTATTAGAAATTGCAAATCTTTCACTTGATGAGCAGGAGATGGAAGCCATATTGTTTGATGATGAAGTTGATGGAATTGAAAGTTGATGTTCCTAGTTTCATTAGGGTTATCATTTATTTTTGTTTAGCTTGTTTTTGGCATGAAACTCTCTTTTCTAATTTCTTCTATGTAATGACATTAAAATAGCTCGTTGACTTACTTTAGTATTAGTATTGTTGAAGAATGATTTACTTTTTTTTTTGGGTAATTGCTCCTTTTAATTATGTTATTAAACTTTGATTTGTATGTTGGATGTTAGCTATAAATTTAAAAAAAAATACATAAATAAATAAAAATAAAAATAAAAATACAATTAGCATACCACAGTCATACCAGTACCCTACTTTTTTAGAATTTTCCGTAACGGCGTACTCGTACCCACACCCACACTTTCTAGTCAAACGTTCCCGACACTTGCATAAGAGCTTGGAGTACGGAGTTTTTTATTGCGAGGGTTCCCTCATGGATAAATACACTTTCAAATGTCCCATGCACAGTGTTTTAAAAGGCGCACACCTAAGCGCGAGGCACAATGAGGCATAGCCTCATGCTTTAAACAAGTTGAAGCGAGGCAAGGCGAGGTGCAATACATAAGGCGCAGCAACTTAGTCGCTGAGGCGACTGCTTTTTTTTGAGGCGCGAGGAGCGGGCTTCATGAGCTTTACCAATTTTTCTGCTCTAACTGTTGATTAAGTGCTTTTTCTTTTGTGGGCATACCCACTGGGAATCAAAGCTCTTCAATATAAAATGCTCAAACATGATCAAAAGAGAGCAGAAAGTGATTAAAAAAAACCATAGGTGGAGAATATTATAAAAAGCGATCAAAAAGTGAGAAGAAGACACGATTTCGGCTTCTTCATGTTCTTCTCTTCTTCTCCTCTACTTTGGTGGTTCTCTTTCTCTTCTCTTCTTCGATGGGTTATCTTGGTTGCATTTATCTCCCTGCCTTTATTTTTTCTTCCTTTAATTTTCTTCTCTTCTTTTCTTATTTTCTTCTTCTCTTCTTCAATGGGTTCTCTTCATAGGTCTGCCTCTATTTTTTCTTCTCTTCTTTTATTCTTCTCTTCTTTTGCTTTTTCACTGGATTATCTCTCTGTTTTTTCTTCTTTGTTATGCTTGTGAAGCTTGCTTTATGCTTTTTAGAATTCTATATATATTTGTTATATTGAAAAGTTTGCCTATTTTATCATTTTCTTTTCTCCTACTACTTGCACCTCGCCTCGCACTTAGGCTATAGGAGACCTTATCGCCACGGTGGGCCTAGAGCCTTTTAAAACACTACCCATGCATCCTTAGCAATTCCACAATATGAGATCCTCCTAAACTCATTGAGTGACACGACACAAAAAATCGCATTCAATGCCTTAGAGTTCCAACCATAATTTTCAATGCCAGTTTTATTATATCCAATTTTGACAAAACAGCCAAATATATTCATTAATTAGCTTCAAAAAGGCTCTTATGTAAGGTTTCCAATAGTATCACTAGAACCATCAAATAAAGGGGGCTCATACCATAGAACCACCCTCTCTAGGCGTATCTATCTCCATAAACATGGTTAATAGGATCTACTTATGCTTTTACACTAAACAAGCAACCAAGAAGCTCCAATACCAATTGAAAAGGCGACAAAGGTGGGGACACATTTGTGCCCGGATGAAGAGTGAATACGTCAAACTCTCAATTCAAATTACCAAGCCATGGATTAATCAATTCAATTATTCAATCCCAATATATATATATATGTGTGTGTGTGTGTGTGCGTGTGTGCGCATGTGTATATAATCATGCATATTCCAAATACAGTATACATAAATGAAGAATAAGAAACATGGCAATATATGGAAAACCATTTGGTAACAACAATCCCCACATGATGAACAATCACAAGCAGTCCCACCTTTTAGAATCCACTAGATGAAGTGGGCGTTAGCAGAGAGAATAAAATACCCAAAAGTCACTAAAAATGTCAAAAAGACAAAGCCTTATACAAAAAGTCAAAGATTCCTTTCGTTCTCTCTACTTTTTACACCTTTTTTTGTAAAAAGTTAAAAACCCATTCCTATAAACTTCAATTTTTTCACCTCATATTTTAGCCAAAAAGCCATTTCCCAAACCAACCCGTAATTTAAAGACTCAAGTAAAACGACTTACAACCCAAACCCTAGATGTGTTAGCCTTGATATCTACCCCTTCAAGCTCAAACTCCACTCACAACTGCCTTTAACTTCTATGTCAGCCTCCTCTTGTCTAGATCTACTCTCCTCTCGGTTCCAATCACAATCGAACAGTTGACAGGAATATCCAATACACAGTGAATGATTAAAATGTGTATGATGCAAGTGGTTTTTGCAAAACAATCAGAGAAACGCTTTCTTCAAATCAATTTGTATACAAAAAGAAAAATACTTCTCTAAATCAGTATGTATGGTCTAGCTTCCTAGGTATTGGAGGCTTTTTAAGAGGCTAGGGTTCCTCATGGATTATTTCTATATGTCTTTATATGTTTAATAAAGCATTAGTCTTTTCTAGTCTTTCAAAAACCAAGTCAAATTCATGTTCAAATCCGCATGCCCACTCAAAGTTGACTTTTCTTTTTACTCATGCAAAATGTCTTGAACTAATGCAATATGCTCATGCAATTTTACCCTAGATTGGATCGAAACACGCATTGTATTGTCATCAGACGTCTTCACTCTTCAGCACTTTAACACTTAGACCTCTACACCTAACCTAGACAACCACCACATGTTTTTGTCTACATCAATTGCCAGCACACTAAATCCTAAATCCTATAACAAAAGGAAAAGTACTTAACTACTAATAAGGAAATTTCTGTACATTCCATACTAAATTGGAAAAAAAAAACTAATGAACACATAAAACTCGAAAACACAGAATCTTATGGACATAATCAAACTATGCAATTCAACTCAACAAGGACATAATCCCTATTACAATGGGCTCGGCTACATTAGTTCTACACCAATCAACTTTTTGTGTAACCACATCATCTCTCAAATCGTATGCAATCAAGTCTTTTTCACATCCTCACGACCCATTGTTTTCAATCCTTTTCTCAAATCGTATGCAATCAAGTCTTTTTCACATCCTCACGACCCATTGTTTTCAATCCTTTTCTTATCCTTCTGGGGCCTTCAACTTAATCAAACCACTACACGATACCAATGCATTCAACATGTTGCACATAGCCAAACCATGTCACAGATAAATTTCCCCACTTTTAAAATTGCCACTCAATGGACTCACCCTTCTTAACGTGTCCAAACCAATCATTTAATGGATACACATTACAATTAGTGGTTAAAAGACAAAATAAAGCAATAAATTCTCTAGTTAATGAAAGGGCAATGTTATTAACTGTAAATTGTTTTGGTGCATGAAATGTATGAACAATGAATTACCCTCACCCAAAAATTGGTACAATGTGGTATTTTACATAGCTCACATATCTCACACTGAGAATTTTGAACATGATAAAGCAAATTTAAATGCATGTGAGTCTAACATATTATGACAGTATTTTGAAAATGCAAAAGCCATGCCTAATATGAATTACCATCCGATGCAAATGCATAAACACTAGTTAACTATTTGTGTGGTTGCTAGACGTGCCACAACAATGAGGCCTCTTGGTTTAAGCTTTCATTCTTGTTTAGATTTTCATTTATCACAAAAAGGAAAAATAAAAGGAAATTTTTTAGATAGAGAAATTAAATTTTCAAGAAAACATAGAACATTCTGAGTTAAGCCATCTCAATGACAGTCTCACAGATCATCGGACTACAAGCAAATAATGATAAAGTAAAATACATCTCCGATTTTTAGCAAAATAAATCCAAAATTGATGTATCTAATGCTCAGTGTCTTTTCAAGTTTAAGATCCACTTATGGGCACTTAAACATAGGACAGGTTATTTCTGGCATAACAATTTACTGAAATCCTGTGCTTATCATGTAGGAGGATTCTTATCATATGATTTGGCCACTTCAACCCAAGTCTTAATCCTTCTACATCAATGCTGGAGCCTTCACATTTATAATTTTGCATACATATCCAGAGGACACCCATAAGTGTCATACTTGAACACCAATCAAGATCTCTGAGATATGACCTTGTTCAACTGTAAGCAAGAGGACACAAATTTATGCATACACAACATCATATGTGTTTCTGGAAGACCTGTCAAAGATGGTTATTAAATCAAAATATAAGAATATGAAAATTGGGATATTATTTTGGCAAATTATAGATGTTCAACATATTAGTGTAGTTGATAGGAGGTCCCTGACTAGAATATGTATAGTTCCAAACTTGAGGCAGGTTGTATATGCAAATAAAGATACATGAGTTGCTAAGTGCCTGAAAGCGTCCAACCAATTTCATAGGTGTGTCATGTCAAGCCTCACAGTCCCTGATAACATTTCTGCTCAAAGTTGTCTCCTTTGAGCCCAAAAGTCGCACCGTGACTTTTCTACAGTAGAATCAATTTGGACAATCCCCATCATCATTAGATAGATGGCTTGAAGCCACAATAAAATTTGGCCACCGCTCAACTCATAGAATCTCATCATAGGGTTTGCAATAAACAATATCTAATGCACATCATTTCAAAAAGGTAAATTACCAAGAGAAAGACAAAATTTTTACTGCTATTTGGCTCACATGATCTATCTGAAGAACTTTATCCCATAGCATTGAAATCACGCTCTTTCCATAACCTTTTTTTTTTGTATCAATCAGCAACCTAGGAGTCCAATTCCTCTAACACTAAAAAAAAAAAAAAAATACTATCTAGATGGTTGCACATAGATTATTACAAGCACAGAAAAGGTACCTCCTCCTATTCTCTTTCTGTGCAAAAGAAGAAGAAAGTTGACACCAACAAGCTGGTATGGTTTGAGAATAGGCTGAAAATCCAAATCATCAGCCCCACATGCGGCGCATATATCATCCTACAATACCAAAGTTATGACTAACCAACCATCAACTCCCTCAAAACTACACATATATAGATGTATAAATTGTTATATATATACACACACACACACATTTAGGAATTTGAAACTAGTTTATTCTCTTCAATTTGCCATCTAAGCATCAAAAACAATTAACCTGAGTAACAATCTTCACTGAAGAAGCATCAACCTCAGCATATCGATCACAGGCTGCCACCGCAGAACCATACAATTCCTTCCGCAGCTCCGCCGATATCTTCGCACACTTCTGCAAAGCCTTTCCCACCACATCCCCTTCCTCTACCTCTTCCTCATCATCATCATCATCATCATCAAAATCAAAACCAAGCTCGCTCTGCTCCGATTTCGATTCAATCGCCTCAGCAGAATCATCATCATCACTGTCCTCATCAACTACAAACCTCCTGCCTCGCCCCGTCTGCGGCCGAACCTCCCTCTCTTCGTCCACATCGTCATCATCCAAATTTTCCTCCAATTTTTCCACGATTTCAACAGAACTGTCGCTGCTGTGATTAGGACTGGATTGAATTTTCGATCCATAAGCGAAAGACTCGATTGGAGGAGGGATTTCGGAGGGTTTGATGACCCGGGATAGCTTGAAGGACTCATTTTCCCACTCGTCGTCGGAGATTTCGTACACGCGCTTCATTTGAATAGGTGGGTTGGAGTGATCAGAGCATGTGAAAACCCTAGAAATGGTTCTAGGTACTCTCTCTCTCTCTCTATCTCTCTCTCTCTCTCGCTTGAGACTAGTAGGGATTGACTGAGAGGAAGTATAGCTTGGGAGTGAAAGTCGAGAGCGCCATTTTTATGGGAGAGTGCGAATAAGAAAGAAAAGGACAGAAAAAAAAATAGAGAAGGCGGGGTACAAGAAGTAGAGGAGCAGAAATGTGACGAAGTATGTTGGATACCCTACGAGGACAATGAAGGAAAGTACCGCTGGTACGAATCCACATGTTAACATTTGTTGGGAATAGAAAGTTAGGAAGGTGATTAAAAGGGTAAAATTATGTTAATAGTTTAATCGATAATGTTACGTAACTCAAATTTTGTGATTTAAAAGTGATTTAAATGGTTAAAACGACGTCGTTTTGAATACAAAACAATATAAAAATAGTCAAAACGACGTCAGTCGTTTTGGCCATTTGAGCCACTGCCACAAAATTTGAGTTACGAAACATTTTCCTAGTTTAATAATGGTAAAATGGTTGGAGAAAGAGTAGTAGTAATTGTTTGAGGGATTTTTCTTAAGTGTGCATTATATATGGTATATAAGGCACTTACACTCTTCTATTTTGCATTTATACATTTACAAAAATACTTTAGAGCTCTAATATAGGAGCTCTAATAGCTCTAATGGGAAGATAGATCCCACCCTGATGTGATGTTTGTGCCTTGTTTTTTTTTTTTTTTTTTTTTTTTAACACATCATTAGAGCTCAAATTAGAGCTCTATATTTAGAACTCTCTATCATTTCTCATACATTTATATGTATTACATTTATATGTATTGGGTTATATCAAAATATTTGGAAACTTACACATTGGTGACCTGCTAAGCAGGTCACTTTCCAGGTAAATTAATAAAATAATATATTATATGACTAAAGGTGTAAATGGTCACAAAAAATGTATAAATTTTCACGAAAGGGGTATATTTTCACGAAAGGCGTAAGGAATTTCAGAAAAAAGCGTAGCTGATTTCTGAAAAGTTACACATTTTTCTGAAAACTTACGCCTTCTGTGAAATCATTTACACCTTTTATGAACACTTACTCCTTTTGTGAGTTGACTTACCAAAGGTGTAAACAAACGAAAACTTACACATTTTGCTTAAGCTTACACCTTTTCGTGAAAATACTTACACCATTTTTGAAAAGTTACTCCTTTTGTGTAAGAATTTTTGGCATAACATTTATACATTTTCTTCGAACTTATACCTTTTGTGGAAGCCCAACTTAAAGATTTTCGGAAGTCACTTATACCTTTTGTGAAAAAATAAATTAATCAAATTTACACCTTTTGCTTAAGCTTATACCTTTTCGTGGAAGTGCTTATATTTTTTTTGAAAAGTTACTCATTTTGTGTAAAATTTTTTGGCATAACATTTATACCTTTTGCTTCGAACTTACACCTTTTGTGGAAGCCCAACTTAAAGCTTTTCGGAAGTCACTTATACCTTTTGTGAAAAAATAAATTCATCAAATTTACACCTTTTGCTTCAGCTTATACCTTTTCGTAGAAGTGCTTATATTTTTTTTGAAAAGTTACTCCTTTTGTGAAATAATTTTTGTCATAAGATTTATACTTTTTTTTCAAACTTACACCTTTTGTGAAAGAGTATATAAGCACAAAAGTATAAATGTTATGCCAAAAATTTTTACACAAAAGGAGTAACTTTTCAAAAATGGTGTAAGTATTTTCAAGAAAAGGTGCAAGCTTAAGCAAAAGGTGCAAATTTCATGAATTTTTTTTTTCACAAAAGGTATAAGTGACTTCCGAAATAGCTTTAAGTTGGGCTTTCATAAAAGGTGTAAGTTCAAAGAAAAAGTATAAATCTTATGCCAACAATTCTTACACAAAAGGAGTAACTTTTCAAAAATGGTGTAAAAATTTTCACGAAAAGTATGAAGGAGTAACATTTCAAAGTGTTGATAACCAGAAAAGGAGTAACAAAAGGTTCATTTCAAAATGTTCGTAAACACAGAAGGAGTAACATATGTTCATCTCAAAGTAGTAAACACAAAAGGAGTAACATTTCGAAGTGTTCATAAACCAATTGAGACAACCACTGAACAAATCAAAGGGTTCGTGACCCCCGCTGACCACCCAAGCGTCGGTGGGCTCCGGTGCTTACAGCCTTCTGAGATCGGCACCTCTACTAGCACCGCCGCCGCAAAACAAAGGTTTTTTGAAAGATTGGCTATCGATCTTGGTCTCTCTCTGTCGATCCCTGTTTATCTCGGTCTGTCTCCAGCGATCTTGGTCTGTCTGTGTCCATGTGGGTCTCTTCTCTGTCAATTTCGGTCCCTCTGTCGATCAGTGTCCATCTAGGTCTCTATGTCTGTTGATCTCAGTCTATCTCTCTCTCTCTCTCTCTCTCTGTCCGTTGCTCTATATTAAAAACGGTTCTCTTTTACATTGACATACTTGGTTGGATTTGGACTCGGAATCGCTATTTCAAACCCTCCCAGACTCGTCTTCTCTGAAACGGAGTTCTACTGAGAGAAAGGCCAAGCCCTCCGAAACGCCCTTCTCTCTCACATTGCCATTATCTGAACAAGACAAATACAGTGTGATTGGATTTAAGGAAAAAACGGAACTTAGACGTTTTACAAAGTTACTTACATCTCTTTGTGGCATAAGATTTATACTTTTTCTTCGAACTTACACTGTTTGTGAAAGCCCAACTTAAACCTTTTGTGTAAGAATTTTTGTCATAAGATTTATACTTTTTCTCCGAACTTACACCTTTTGTGGAAAAAAAAATTCATGAAATTTACACATTTTCCTTAAGCTTACACCTTTTCGTTGAAGTGCTTACACCATTTTTGAAAAGTTACTCCTTTGGTGTAAGAACTTTTGGCATAACATTTATACTTTGTCTTCGAACTTACACCTTTTGTGAAAGCCCTACTTAAAGCTTCGTTGGAAGTCACTTATACCATTTGTGAAAAAAAAAATTCATAAAATTTACACATTTTGTTTAAGCTTACACCTTTTCGTGGAAGTGCTTACACCATTTTTGAAAAGGTACTCCTTTTGTGTAAGAATTTTTGGCATAACATTTAAACTTTTTCTTCCAACTTACACCTTTTGTGAAAGTCCAACTTAAAGCATCTTCGGAAGTCACTTATACCTTTTGTGAAAAAAAAAAATTAATAAAATTTACACCTTTTGCTTAAGCTTACACCTTTTCGGGAACATATTTACACCATTTTTGAAAAGGTACTCCTTTTGTGTAAGAATTTTTGGCATAACATTTATAGTTTTTCTTCCAACTTACACCTTTTGTGAAAGCCCAACTTAAAGCATCTTCGGAAGTCACTTATACCTTTTGTGAAAAAAAAAATTAATGAAATTTACACCTTTTGCTTAAGCTTACACCTTTTCGGGAACATATTTACACCATTTTTGAAAATGTACTCCTTTTGTGTAAGAATTTTTATCATAACATTTACTCCTTTTGTGCTTATATACTATTTCACACAAGGTGTAAGTTGGAATAAAAAGTATAAATGTTATGCCAAAAATTCTTACACAAAAGGAGTAACTTTTCAAAAATGGTGTAAGTATTTTCACGAAAAGGTGTAAGCTTAAGAAAAATGTGTAAATTTGATTATTTTTTTTTTCCCAAAAGGTGTAAGTGACTTCCAAAGAAGTTTTAAGTTGGGGTTTCACAGAAGGTGTAAGTTCGAAAAAAAAGTATAATGTTATGCCAAAAATTCTTACACAAAAGCAGTAACTTTTCAAAAATGGTGTAAGCACTTCCACGAAAAGGTGTAAGCTTAAACAAAATGTGTAAATTTGATGAATTTTTTTTTCACAAAAGGTATAAGTGACTTCCGACGAAGCTTTAAGTTGGGCTTTCACAAAAGGTGTAAGTTCGAAGAAAAAGTATAAATCTTATGCCAAAAATTCTTACACAAAAGGAGTACATTTTAAGAAATGGTGTAAATATGTTCCCAAAAAGGTGTAAACTTAAGCACAAGGTGTAAATTTCATTAATTTTTTTTTCCACAAAAGGTATAAGTGACTTCCGAAGATGCTTTAAGTTAGGCTTTCACAAAAGGTGTAAGTTGGAAGAAAAAGTATAAATGTTATGCCAAAAATTCTTACACAAAATGAGTAACTTTTAAAAAATGGTGTAAGCCCTTCCATGAAAAGGTGTAAGCTTAAGCAAAATGTGTAAATTTGATGAATTTTTTTTTTCACAAATGGTATAAGTGACTTCCGACGAAGCTTTAAGTTGCCACTCACAAATGGTAAAAATTCTTGAACAAAAGGAGTAACTTTTCAAAAATGGTGTAAGTATTTTCACGAAAAGTATGAAGGAGTAACATTTCAAAGTGTTCATAACCACAAATGGAGTAACAAAGCGTTCATTTCAAAATGTTCGTAAACACAGAAGGAGTAACATCAAGTGTTCATTTCAAACTATTCGTAGTAAACACAAAAGGAGTAATATTTCGAAGTGTTCATAAACAAATTGGGACAACCACTGAACAAATCAAAGGGCTCGTGACCCCCGCTGACCACCCAAGCGTCGGTGGCCTCCGGTGCTCACAGCCTTCTGAGATCGGCACCTCCACTGGCACCACCGCCGCAAATCAAAGATTTTTTTCTCTCTGGCTATCGATCTTGGTCTCTCTGTGTCGATGTCGGCCTATTCTCTGTCGATGTCGGTCTCTCTCTGTCGATCCCTGTTTATCTCGGTCTGTCTCCAGCGATCTTGGTCTGTCTGTGTCCATGTGGGTCTCTTCTCCGTCGATCTCTGTCGATTTCGGTCCCTCTGTCGATCTCGGAGTGGCTGCTCTGTCGATCAGTGTCCATCTAGGTCTCTATCTCTGTTGATCTCAGTCTATCTCTCTCTCTCTCTCTCTCTCTCTCTCTGTCCGTTGCTCTATATTAAAAACGGTTCTCTTTTATA